CCACAGCAAATCATTTATATTAAACTTTATTTACTCTTGAATACTTCAGTACAAAGGATGTATTGAATAATTTAAGTGATATGTGTACACAGAGCTGCAGATCGGGTAGTCACAGGCAATGTGGCTGAGTTTTGTGCATGCTCTGGAAAGTGAGAGTGTAAGCCACTACGGAGTCCCTTAAAGCAAAACAAATCTGCGGAGTCTAGAAATGTTTTTAAATCTCGATTTTTCGGTTCAGCCATTTCACAAACCGTAGGAAAGTAAAAATGCAAATTAATCATTAAAACCGAGGAGAAAAAAAAAAATCGCCCAGCCCTAGTTCCATGTTGATTTATGTCAATTCAAATCGTTAGGGGAACTGAAACTATTACCGTACTGGTTACTTTGCAGCCCAGACATTTCCCAAAAACACATTTTAGACGCAATCGCAACACAGAAGTACCTTTCACATCCCATCATCTTAAGACCCTTCTTATTTTTTGGTCATATTTAAGACCGTAAATTCAGATTAACAAATGTAAGACTTTTTGAGACCCCGCGGGAACCCTGTGCATGTTTGGGCACAGAGTCTCTACACATGTTAATAAAAGACACCAGGCACAGGATTCAGTTCACTCTTTATTTCCACAAACACAGCCTTGATGTCTCTGAAGCTCAGCACCTGAGAAGAGAAGAGAGCAGTTAGAAGCAGCCTTCCTCCAGAGCACAGATCAGAGAGTCTGCTCTGCATCAGAAAACAGTTCTCTTTCACTCTGACTCAGAGAGATTCCCAATGTTTCAACAGATCATCAGCTACAGCTTTCAGAGATGTGCAGGTATCAGAGAGAAATTCACCTGGAGAGGCTGATCCCAGAGCAGATCCTGGTCCTGGAGGGGAGGGGCTTCACCTGATGAGGCTGATCCCAGAGCAGATCCTGGTCCTGGAGGGGAGGGGCTTCACCTGATGAGAGGCTGATCCCAGAGCAGATCCTGGTCCTGAAGGGGCGGGGCTTCACCTGATGAGAGGCTGATCCCAGAGCAGATCCTGGTCCTGAAGGGGAGGGGCTTCACCTGGAGAGGCTGATCCCAGAGCAGATCCTGAAGGGGAGGGGCTTCACCCGGAGAGAGGCTGACCCCAGAGCAGATCCTGGTCCTGAAGGGGCGGGGCTTCACCTGATGTGAGGCTGATCCCAGAGCAGATCCTGGAGGGGCTTCTTTGGACAGAAACACAAACTCATTAGAACTAAAGGTAGAGACTCAGCAGAGGCATTGGAGCGCACACAGCCTCAGAACATAATGGAACGGTAGGGGTATAATCACGAGAGATCATTTGGCAGAATCTTTTCATCACAGGTAGTGTTCATAGAAACTGATCACTCCTGATGAGACGCACCTTAGCTTCCAGTCCTCAAACGTCCCGTGTTCAGTCTGATAGAGGAGGGTCTTTCCTGGAGGAGAAGGACACAAAGTCTTATTTAAAAACTACATTTATATGAGAGCAGTGACAGAAAAGCAGCACCAACTAAATGTCCAGTGCGCACACAGCCTCAGAACATAATGGAACGGTAGGGGTATAATCACGAGAGATCATTTGGCAGAATCTTTTCATCACAGGTAGTGTTCATTAACGCCACACACATTCTGATAACACACTCCTGATGAGACCCACCTTCATGTCCTCAAGCGTCCCATGTTCAGTCTGACAGGCTCTTTCCTGAGGAGAAGGACATCACATCTCATCAGTCAGCGACAGGTTGATTGTGTTACTCTATTTTAATTCAAAGTGATTGTGGTTCTCTCCTCTGGGTTCTCAGTCACAGATTGTTCCACATTGTAGTTCAGGTCAGACATTTGTAAACATCACTGAACCCTCAGTCTTCCTAAAGTCTCAGGAGAGGATCAGATTCTCACCTGAAGTCCCTCTGAACAGCTGATCGACCCTCACAGCTGATCGACCCTCACACCTGATTGGATCTGAAAGCACAGAAGAGTAGATTAAATCAACCCAGAATAAAAAGCCCGTTAGTTTCCCTGAAGCTAACTCAGATCAGATTAAATGCTAATTTTCCTCAACGGGATCAGAGACCTGATTCATGTTCATCACATCTGAGTCATGTTAGCGGCTAAATGCTAATCTGTGATGCTCACCAGGAACACAGGAGGCCTGGAGGTGGGAGTCCTGGACAGCAGGGGTTCTTCATGTCTGAATTAAACAGAGAGGGGTCTCATTATCACAGAGAGAGAAACACCTGAGGCTCAGCAGAACTACAGCTGATACTCAGCTAGGAGCGAAAGACAAATGCTCTTGTTCTTCATGGTTCATCTGCTGAACTATGCTCTCATCACGGTGTCAGACATCCTTCAACTCTGCTGTTCCTCCATATAACTCACCTTCACATGGAGCGCTGCCTCAGTCTGCTTTCTGTCAAAGAGAGAGGACGTGTTAGCAAGTGCTTCAGGAGTCGAGTGTCCTCCATGTCTTTCAGGCCGACACTCAGCTAGGAGCGAAAGACAAATGCTCTTGTTCTTCATGTTTCATCTGTTGAACTATGCTCTCATCACGGTGTCAGACGTCACAGCTTTATTCCAGTCTCCAACTCACCTTAGTTTGTCCTTTTGTCCTCCCAGTACTTCATGCATCATCACCACTTCCTGCTCCTGGAAAGTGAGACTTGTATTAGAAGAAGATCTAGAAACTAAGAGTCCTTGATGAGCAGAGAGGCCGACACTCAGCTAGGAGCGAAAGACAAATGCTCTTGTTCTTCATGTTTCATCTGCTGAACTATGCTCTCATCACGGTGTCGGAGCTCTTCGTTAATGCTGCTTCAGCAGAATATCTAACTCACCTGCCACTGAGTCCAGGGTCATGAGGAGAGGAGGCTCAGAGGACCAGCTGCAAGAGAGAGGACTCACTTTAGAAAAGGCATGTTTCAATAAAGAGGCGTCTGTTCATCTGCACGCATCAGATACAAGTCTTCTTTCACTCTGACTCAGAGAGATTCCCAATGTTTTGTTACAAGATCATCATTTAGATTCCTTTAAAGGATGCTAGAGACATGATGGATGCATCACCTGGTCTGGAGGTCACAGGTCAGCTGGAGGTCATCTCCTGCAGGAACACAGAGTAAAATGAGCTCCATCTCTAATATTCAGAGTGTGCTCTTCTCGCTGTGTGAGCCTCAGATAGATCAACTGGTGGGTTGGAGGTATCGTCATCCAGGTAGTCGAGAGTAGCAAATGCTGTCATCACAGACGAGAGAGAGGAAGACTATAAGACACTCTGAGGCTCACCTCCTTTCAGCTTCACATGCTGCTTCGTGTAACGTCAGAGGTCCAACTCGGTGTCCTGCAGCCTCTCTGGTCCTAAGTCCAAGAGGCCGGTCTATATAAAGGGCCGGTGGCGAGTCTGTGTTGGGCAGTCTGTTCAGCTTCGCATGTTGCTCCATGTCTCTGAGACCTGTGGACACAAACCCTCGTTAGCTCCACAACATGGAGACAAAGACACGATATAGCTTTCCATGGAAGTGTCAGCGTATGGTTTCTCAGATATCACATCTGTCCACTACTCTTATACTAAATCATCACAAACTTCCACTTAAAACCTGTAGTTTCTTCATTGAGCAGATAGAGTAACTCACAGCAGAGGATCTGAGGAGGTTCCCAGCTCAGAGACTTCTTCTTCCACCTGAACAACATCAAGAACTCCGATTAAAAACACATCTGGAAAAACTGCTTCACTTTAGTAATCAGTGAAATAACACACTGCTAACATTAGCATGCTATCAGTTAAACTTCAGCCATTCAGTTTCAGAAATCTCTTCTGTCCACTACTCTTATATAATGAAACATCACCAGTTTACCAATCAGAGCAGAGGTGGAGAAGTACTCTGATCTAGTACTGAGTAGAAGTACTCTGATCTAGTACTGAGTTAAAGGAGAAGTACTCTGATCTAGTACTGAGTTAAAGTAGAAGTACTCTGATCTAGTACTGAGTTAAAGGAGAAGTACTCTGATCTAGTACTGAGAAGAAGTACTCTGATCTAGTACTGAGTTAAAGGAGAAGTACACAGATCTGGTAACTTTCCACCTCTGATCAAAATGGAGTCATTTCTATTTCCTCACCATTTAATGTCCAGATCCATTCTGCAGAGATCCTGTCCTGAGGCCTGCAACCAGAAGAGGGAGATATTTAAATCATGCATTTAGTTTAACCTGCAACACATCCAAGTCCATTAACTCCTGCCCATGCAGCAGCTATTAGCTCATGCTCTGAGCAGCTAGTTAGCTCATGCTCTGAGCAGCTAGCTCTAAAACAGAACAGTTTAACTTGTTCCCGTGCAGTCAGAGCGGTTGGCATTCTACACAAATATTCAGTTGTCCCTACCAACATTTTAATCATCATATATACACGGGAAAGCTGCAGAGAGGAGACTTTAAGAGGATACACAGAGATGATAGCAATACATTTCACTCAGTGACATGAAGGTATACAAAACATTACATTCTGAGTGACCAGTTCAGTTCATAATGCCCTCAGTTTTGAATTAATGTAATGAACCATGATGTTCATGTTCCTTTTCAACGATGTATTGGAATAATTGTCCATGAAAGTAATTTTAAAAAAAGAAGTGTATTCTGATTATTTATCCAGAATCTGCACATTAAGGCATTAAATAAACGTATTGGAGTTTAGGTACAGTATTTACCTCTGAACTAGTGGGTTTAGGTATGAAGTAGCAAAAATGTGAATACTCAAAAGTACAAGTAGCTCAAAGTGTACTTCAGTACATCTGGTTATAATGAAGGCATTGCCGTTTCCTCACCATTTAATGATCAGCTCCATTTTGCAGAGATCCTGTCGCAAGGCCTGCAACCAGAGAAGGAGATAAACATTAATATACATCTTTAAAAATGCATCTAGTTACAAACTGCAACTCATCTAAATCTGTAAACTCCTGCACATGCAGCAGCTAGTTAGCACATGTAGCAGCTAGCTCTAAAACAGAACAGTTTAACTTGTTCCCGTGCAGTCAGAGCGGTTGGCATTCTACACAAATATTCAGTTGTCCCTACCAACATTTTAAATCATCATATATACACGGGAAAGCTGCAGAGAGGAGACTTTAAGTGGATTAAAAGTCAAGATTAGCTCATATGCTAATTAGCTGCTTACACGTGGGAGAGGCCTAGCTGCTTGTAAAAGATAAATTGTTTCCATATAGGAGACATTTTATCGACATATAAAACATCAAAACAATAATGCATTTAAATAGTTTGTCTACATCTGTTCAAGTAGATAAATATCAATACAAAAAGTCAGCTAAAACAACGAATGAAGGATATTTCTAGGCTGGAAACCTATTTACCTTGTGAGCAGCGGAGGAATGAGGACTGACTGAGGGCGCGGACTGATTTTATAGGGAGATGTCGCAGTGGCTGATGGGAAAAACAGTTCAAACTGCTAGCGCCCCTGCTGGCCGTTGGTGTCATTGAGTGTATTTGTATAAAGGGCTGAGTGATATGGAAAACATCAAATATTTAATATATTGAATTAAATACTCGATATTAATATTGTATAGTTGACTATAGGTGCTTTTATCAAATATTTACTCAATAAGATGATTGATACATTATATAACTAGTGTGATATAATAACTTATTGGGTAAAGACCAGAGTTTAAAAACAAATAATACAAATGATAAAATGACATCGCTTGCTTGAAAGCTGCCTTAAATCGAGTAAAAGACAATTATGCAATACAATGATATTCTAAGACGATATCTAATCGTATTTCCCATCATAGATAAAATCGCCCAGCTCTTTAAAAATAAATAAAACTAAGGCGAGAAACTAAAGGTGAAAGATTGTGTGATTAGTGTAATACATATTTAGAGGCTCTTTTCCCCTAAAAGCATGATTTTTAACACGTTATAATTAACATGGCTGCTAATCGTTTTCTGTTGAGGATGCACGATTTGGAAAAAATAGATTTATGTTGCCTGATAAAATATAAAGGGGCCAAAATGATGAGTTTATTATTTAATTACTTAATTGTTAAGTGTAAAAACGATAGCACATTCTTCTTCTTCTTCTTCTTTTGGTTTAATGGCGGTTGGCAAACAGCTATAAGGTGCATTTACCGCCACAAACGATAGAACATTGGTGAAGGGAACTGAATCTACCAGGTGGTTAATTTGTGTTAATTGATGCTCTCTCCAGGTGAGGGTGAGAGACCCCGCCCTCCTGACCATCAGCTTGTCTGAAGGAGTCCTTTAAACTGTAGTCCACCTCCCTCTACCTGGTCCACATCCTCAGGTGAGACCACTTCACCTGGAGAACAAGAACCCTGAAGAAAGGAATCTGAAGGAAATGAACTAGAGACAAATATGCAAAGTGTTGGGTGAACTCCCATCGTCCATCTGCTCTCTGATCACACAGACAGTTGCAGGTAGCCATTGCCTGAGATCACATGATGTGGTTTTGTTACATGTGCAAGGACTGACTTAGGGACGAAAGCTTTTATGTGCGCAGCTCCTCTAACTTGGAACAGTCTTCAAACATAATTGAAACTGAGTAATTTGGTTCCACTGCCTGTTTTTAAAGCTCGGATAGATGCAATGATACTTGATACTGTCGCTAGGTATGTATCTGTAGCCCTGTAAATACGATGTCCTTTTGTGTTATCTGTTTTATGTTCACGTTGTAACCTACTTGCTGCCATGTTGGACAGGTCTCCCTCGATGATCTCAATGGGACCACCTGGTTAACTAAAGGTTTGAATGAGTCCTCAGGTCAGACCACTTCACCTGGAGAACAAGAACCCTGAAGGAGAGGAGGAAATCAAAGAAACATCAAATCCCAACTTAAAAAGAAATGGCAGGACGAATGGAGGAGTTCAGGGCAGACATCTTTATAATGTTCAAAAGAAAGTTGGAGAAACAAGAGAAGTAAAGAAGAGGAGGACGACATTTCCAGAATGAGATTTGGTCACACTGGGCTAAATATTAAATAACACATTAGTTATGAAAGAACATGCAACAGGTACATTTTGGTCATTTTGAAACAGTGGAGCACATTTTCTGCAATGTCTCAAATACCATCAAGAACGTGTATTCGGCTACTAAAGGAAGCACTGCACAGAAATCAAACGGAATTAAATATAGTAGAGACGTTGAGAAGGAGTTCAGGTGATGTAGCATACAGGGCAGTGTTTAGGCTTTTAGAAAAGGACAGGAATTATATTAAGAATTTAGATTAACACCGAGCTGACCCACTCCATTTCTGAAGGTGGCGGTAAATGCTCCTGAAAGCTGTTTCCCATCCGAACATCCGAAGAAGAAGAAACAATCAGGATAATATCTGAGATGAGAGGGAACCAGAACCGGAGAGGAGCCAACAGGAGGTGAGAAACACTGCTCATTTTGATCTTAATACTCGTTATAATTAAGGAATATATTCATGTTTTGTTTTTTCAGGCAGGCCTCTGTGTCCCACGTGTTTGATGCTAATTAGCATCTGAGCTAATGTTGTTGATTAACTAATGTGTGTCTAATGTCTCTTAAAGTCCCCTTGCTGCAGCTTTCCCGTGTATTTATGATTTTAAAATGTTGGTAGGGACAACTGAATATTTGTGTAGAATGCCAACCTCTCTGACTGCACGGGAACAAGTTAAACTGTTCTGTTTTAGAGCTAGCTGCTACATGTGCTAACTAGCTGCTGCATGGGCAGGAGTTAACATGCTTGGAGGTGTTGCAGCCAGTTTGTAACTAAATGCATGATTTTTAAGTATATTAATGTTTATCTTCTCTGGTTGCAGGCCTTGCGACAGGATCTCTACAAAATGGAGCTGAACATTAAATGGTGAGGAAACAGAAATGCCTTCATTATAACCAGATGTACTGAAGTACACTTTGAGCTACTTGTACTTTGAGTATTTACAATGTTGCTACTTCATACTTACAACCCACTAGATCAGAGGTAAATACTGTACCTAAACTCCAATACGTTTATTTAATGCCTTAATGTGCAGATTCTGGATAAATAATCAGAATACACTTTTTTGTTTAAACTTTCATGGACAATTATTCCAATACATCGTTAAAAAGGAACATGAACATCATGGTTCATTACATTAATTCAAAACTGAGGGCATTATGAACTGAACTGGTCACTCAGAATGTAATGTTTTGTATACCTTCATGTCACTGAGTGAAATGTATTGCTATCATCTCTGTGTATCCTCTTAAAGTCTCCTCTCAGCAGCTTTCCCGTGTATATATGATGATTAAAATGTTGGTAGGGACAACTGAATATTTGTGTAGAATGCCAACCGCTCTGACTGCATGGGAACAAGTTAAACTGTTCTGTTTTAGAGCTAGCTGCTCAGAGCATGAGCTAACTAGCTGCTCAGAGCATGAGCTAACTAGCTGCTCAGAGCATGAGCTACTAGCTGCTGCATGGGCAGGAGTTAATGGACTTAGATGTGTTGCAGGTTAAACTAAATGCATGATTTAAATATCTCCCTCTTCTGGTTGCAGGCCTCAGGACAGGATCTCTGCAGAATGGATCTGGACATTAAATGGTGAGGAAATTGAAATGACTCCATTTTGATCAGAGGTGGAAAGTTACCAGATCTGTGTACTTCTCCTTTAACTCAGTACTAGATCAGAGTACTTCTCCTTTAACTCAGTACTAGATCAGAGTACTTCTCCTTTAACTCAGTACTAGATCAGAGTACTTCTACTCAGTACTAGATCAGAGTACTTCTACTCAGTACTAGATCAGAGTACTTCTACTTTAACTGAAGTACGAGATCAGAGTACTTCTCCTTTAACTCAGTACTAGATCAGAGTACTTCTCCTTTAACTCAGTACTAGATCAGAGTACTTCTCCTTTAACTCAGTACTAGATCAGAGTACTTCTCCTTTAACTCAGTACTAGATCAGAGTACTTCTCCTTTAACTCAGTACTAGATCAGAGTACTTCTACTCAGTACTAGATCAGAGTACTTCTACTTTAACTCAAGTACTAGATCTGTGTACTTCTACTCAGTACTAGATCTGTGTACTTCTCCTTTAACTCAGTACTAGATCAGAGTACTTCTACTTTTACTCAGTACTAGATCAGAGTACTTCTACTTTTACTCAGTACTAGATCAGAGTACTTCTACTTTTACTCAGTACTAGATCAGAGTACTTTTACTTTAACTCAGTACTAGATCAGAGTACTTTTACTTTAACTCAGTACTAGATCAGAGTACTTTTACTTTAACTCAGTACTAGATCAGAGTACTTCTACTTTAACTCAAGTACTAGATCAGAGTACTTCTACTTTAACTCAAGTACTAGATCAGAGTACTTCTACTTTAACTCAAGTACTAGATCTGTGTACTTCTACTCAGTACTAGATCTGTGTACTTCTCTAACTCAGTACTAGATCAGAGTACTTCTACTTTAACTCAGTACTAGATCAGAGTACTTCTACTTTAACTCAAGTACTAGATCAGAGTACTTCTACTTTAACTCAAGTACTAGATCAGAGTACTTCTACTTTAACTTAAGTACTAGATCAGAGTACTTCTACTTTAACTCAAGTACTAGATCAGAGTACTTCTACTTCTACTCAGTACTAGATCAGAGTACTTCTACTTTAACTCAAGTACTAGATCAGAGTACTTCTACTTTAACTCAAGTACTAGATCAGAGTACTTCTACTTTAACTCAAGTACTAGATCAGAGTACTTCTACTTTAACTCAAGTACTAGATCAGAGTACTTCTACTTTAACTCAAGTACTAGATCTGTGTACTTCTCTAACTCAGTACTAGATCAGAGTACTTCTACTTTAACTCAAGTACTAGATCAGAGTACTTCTACTTCTACTCAGTACTAGATCAGAGTACTTCTACTTCTACTCAGTACTAGATCAGAGTACTTCTACTTTAACTCAAGTACTAGATCAGAGTACTTCTGCTTCTACTCAGTACTAGATCAGAGTACTTCTACTTTAACTCAGTACTAGATCAGAGTACTTCTATTTTTACTCAGTACTAGATCTGTGTACTTCTCTAACTCAAGTACTAGATCAGAGTACTTCTCCTTTAACTCAGTACTAGATCAGAGTACTTCTCTTTAACTCAGTACTAGATCAGAGTACTTCTCCTTTAACTCAGTACTAGATCTGTGTACTTCTCTAACTCAGTACTAGATCAGAGTACTTCTCCTTTAACTCAGTACTAGATCAGAGTACTTCTCCTTTAACTCAGTACTAGATCTGTGTACTTTAACTCAGTACTAGATCTGTATACTTTAACTCAAGTACTAGATGAGAGTACTTCTACTCAGTACTAGATCAGAGTACTTCTCCTTTAACTCAGTACTAGATCTGTGTACTTTAACTCGGTACTAGATCTGTGTACTTTAACTCAGTACTAGATCAGAGTACTTCTCCTTTAACTCAGTACTAGATCTGTGTACTTTAACTCGGTACTAGATCTGTGTACTTCTACTCAGTACTAGATCAGAGTACTTCTACTCAGTACTAGATCAGAGTACTTCTCCACCTCTGCTCTGATTGGTAAACTGGTGATGTTTCATTATATAAGAGTAGTGGACAGAAGAGATTTCTGAAACTGAATGGCTGAAGTTTAACTGATAGCATGCTAATGTTAGCAGTGTGTTATTTCACTACTGAGTTACTAAAGTGAAGCAGTTTTTCCAGATGTGTTTTTAATCGGAGTTCCTTGATGTTTGTTCAGGTGGAAGAAGAAGTCTCTGAGCTGGGAACCTCCTCAGATCCTCTGCTGTGAGTTACTCTATCTGCTCAATGAAGAAACTACAGGTTTTAAGTGGAAGTTTGTGATGATTTAGTATAAGAGTAGTGGACAGATGTGATATCTGAGAAACCATACGCTGACACTTCCATGGAAAGCTATATCGTGTCTTTGTCTCCATGTTGTGGAGCTAACGAGGGTTTGGTGTCCACAGGTCTCAGAGACATGGAGCAACATGTGAAGCTGAACAGGACTGCCCAACACAGACTCGCCACCGGCCCTTTATATAGACCGGCCTCTTGGACTTAGGACCAGAGAGGCTGCAGGACACCGAGTTGGACCTCTGACGTTACAGTACCCAAGCAGCATGTGAAGCTGAAAGGAGGTTGAGCCTCAGAGTGTCTTAAAGTCCTTCCTCTCTCTCGCCTGTGATGACAGCATTTGCTACTCTCGACTACCTGGATGACGATACCTCCAACCCACCAGTTGATCTATCTGAGGCTCACACAGCGAGAAGAACACACTCTGAATATTAGAGATGGAGCTCATTTTACTCTGTGTTCCTGCAGGAGATGACCTCCAGCTGACCTCCAGGTGACCTACAGACCAGGTGATGCATCCATCATGTCTCTAGCATCCTTTAAAGGAATCTAAATGATGATCTTGTAACAAAACATTGGGGAATCTCTCTGAGTCAGAGTGAAAGAAGACTTGTATCTGATGCGTGCAGATGAACAGACGCCTCTTTATTGAAACATGCCTTTTCTAAAGTGAGTCCTCTCTCTTGCAGCTGGTCCTCTGAGCCTCCTCTCCTCATGACCCTGGACTCAGTGGCAGGTGAGTTAGATATTCTGCTGAAGCAGCATTAACCAAGAGCTCCGACACCGTGATGAGAGCATAGTTCAGCAGATGAAACATGAAAGAACAAGAGCATTTGTCTTCGCTCCTAGCTGAGTGTCGGCCCCTCTCTGCTCATCAAGGACTCTTAGTTTCTAGATCTTCTTCTAATACATGTCTCACTTTCCAGGAGCAGGAAGTGGTGATGATGCATGAAGTACTGGGAGGACAAAAGGGACAAACTAAGGTGAGTTGGAGACTGGAATAAAGCCTGTGACGTCTGACACCCGTGATGAGAGCATAGTTCAACAGATGAAACATGAAGAACAAGAGCATTGTCTTTCGCTCCTAGCTGAGTGTCGGCCTGAAAGACATGGAGGACCACTCGACTCCTGAAGCACTTGCTAACACTTCCGCTCTCTCTTGACAGAAAGCAGACTGAGGCAGCGCTCCATGTGAAGGTGAGGTTAATGGAGGAACAGCAGAGTTGAAGGATGTCTGATACCGTGATGAGAGCATAGTTCAGCAGATGAACCATGAAGAACAAGAGCATTTGTCTTTCGCTCCTAGCTGAGTATCAGCTGTAGTTCTGCTGAGCCTCAGGTGATTCGCTCTCTGTGATAATGAGACCCCTCTCTGTTTAATTCAGACATGAAGACCCCCTGCTGTCCAGGACTCCCACCTTCAGGCCTCCTGTGTTCCTGGTGAGCATCACAGATTAGCATTTAGCCGCTAACATGACTCAGATGTGATGAACATGAATCAGGTCTCTGATCCCGTTGAGGAAAATTAGCATTTAATCTGATCTGAGTTAGCTTCAGGGAAACTAACGGGCTTTTTATTCTGGGTTGATTTACTCTACTCTTCTGTGTTTTCAGATCCAATCAGGTGTGAGGGTCGATCAGCTGTGAGGGTCGATCAGCTGTGAGGGTCGATCAGCTGTGAGGGTCGATCAGCTGTGAGGGTCGATCAGCTGTGAGGGTCGATCAGCTGTGAGGGTCGATCAGGTGTGAGGGTCGATCAGGTGTGAGGGTCGATCAGCTGTGAGGGTCGATCAGGTGTGAGGGTCGATCAGCTGTGAGGGTCGATCAGGTGTGAGGGTCGATCAGGTGTGAGGGTCGATCAGGTGTGAGGGTCAATCAGCTGTGAGGGTCGATCAGCTGTTCAGAGGGACTTCAGGTGAGAATCTGATCCTCTCCTGAGACTTTAGGAAGACTGAGGGTTCAGTGATGTTTACAAATGTCTGACCTGAACTACAATGTGGAACAATCTGTGACTGAGAACCCAGAGGAGAGAACCACAATCACTTTGAATTAAAATAGAGTAACACAATCAACCTGTCGCTGACTAATAAGATGTGATGTCCTTCTCCTCAGGAAATAGCCTGTCAGACTGAACATGGGACACTTGAGGACATGAAGGTGGGTCTCATCAGGAGTGTGTTATCAGAATGTGTGTGGCGTTAATGAAACACTACCTGTGATGAAAAGATTCTGCCAAATGATCTCTAATGATTATACCCCTACCGTTCCATTATGTTCTGAGGCTGTGTGCGCACTGGACATTTAGTTGGTGCTGCTTTTCTGTCACTGCTCTCATATAAATGTAGTTTTTAAATAAGACTTTGTGGTCCTTCTCCTCCAGGAAAGACCCTCCTCTGTCAGACTGAACACGGGACTTTGAGGACTGGAAGCTAAGGGTGCGTCTCATCAGGAGTGATCAGTTTCTATGAACACTACTGTGGATGAAAAGATTCTGCCAAAATGATCTCTCTGATTATACCCCTACCGTTCCATTATGTTCTGAGGCTGTGTGGCGCTCCAACGCACTCTGCTGAGTCTCTACCTTTAGTTCTAATGAGTTTGTGTTTCTGTCCAAAGAAGCCCCTCCAGGATCTGCTCTGGGATCAGCCTCACATCAGGTGAATCCCCGCCCCTTCAGGACCAGGATCTGCTCTGGGATCAGCCCCGCCCCTTCAGGACCAGGATCTGCTCTGGGATCAGCCTCACATCAGTGAAGCCCCCCGCCCCTTCAGGACCAGGATCTGCTCTGGGATCAGCCTCTCATCAGGTGAAGCCCCGCCCCTTCAGGACCAGGATCTGCTCTGGGATCAGCCTCTCATCAGGTGAAGCCCCTCCCCTTCACGACCAGGATCTGCTCTGGGATCAGCCTCTCCAGGTGAAGCCCCTCCCCTCCAGGACCAGGATCTGCTCTGGGATCAGCCTCTCCAGGAGAAGCCCCTCCCCTTCAGGACCAGGATCTGCTCTGGGATCAGCCTCTCATCAGGTGAAGCCCCTCCCTTCAGGACCAGGATCTGCTCTGGGATCAGCCTCTCCAGGTGAAGCCCCTCCCCTCCAGGACCAGGATCTGCTCTGGGATCAGCCTCTCATCAGGTGAAGCCCCTCCCCTTCAGGACCAGGATCTGCTCTGGGATCAGCCTCTCATCAGGTGAAGCCCCTCCCCTTCAGGACCAGGATCTGCTCTGGG